CCGGGGCTTTAACCCACTGTGCCACAGCGCCAACCCCTTTATACGCCTTTTGATAAATATCAAATAATTACTGTCCAGAAATGTCATACCAATTTCTATCATAGCCTCTTCTTAGTATAGTGCCACTTAAAAATTGTTGAGATGGAGAAGAGGAAATAGTATCTTATTTTAAATTTGTATTTCCTTACTATTAAAGTGTACCTTTCTTTAAGTCTCTTGTTCATTTGCTTTTCTCTTATTAATTTTCTATATCCATTTTTTTAAAAGTTAGGATGAATTGGTTGTATTTGTTTTTTGTTGTTAAATTTTTTTTTAATTTTCATTTTATTTGAAAGTCTGAGAGACACACAGATGGAGGGACACATTGCATCCTCTGGTTCACTCTCCAGATGCTGCCAACAGCCAGGACAGAGAGGAGCCCAGGCCCCCACACAGGTGGCCGGGACACAGGATGTGAGCCTTCCCACACTGCCTCTCAAGGGAGCCATTAGCAGGAAGCCGGACTGGAAGCAAAGCAGGCGGAGCCTGACCAGGCACTCTGACAGGATATTTAAATGTCCCCGTGTGGCCGCCTAACAACTGCACCGAAGACCTGCCTCACCCACTTTTCTTTATTACTGTGTTTAATGCTTTTCTTATTCATTTCTAAGTTCTTTATAATGTTAAAGAATTATTTCTACACATTTACTGCAAATATTTTTCTCTACTTTAAAAAATTTTTCTTTTGGGCCTGGCACTGTGGTGCAGCCGGTTAAGCCTCCATCTGCAGTGCCAGCATTCCACGTGGGTGCCAGTTCCAGTCCGGGCTGCTCCGCTTCCAATCCAGCTCCCTGCTAATCCGCCTGGAAGAGCAGCAGAAGATGGCCTGGTCCTTGGTCTCCTGGGCTGAACACCTGGTTCCTGACTGGGGCCTGGCACAGCTCAGGCTATTGTGGCCATTTGGGGAGTGAACCAGCAGATGGAAGATCTCTCTCTCTTTTTGTCTCTCTTCTCTCTCTCTAATTCTGACTTTCAAATAAATAAATCTGTAAAAAACTTTTTTATAAATGCATTTAAAACTTTTACGTGGTGACATTTATCACTCATTACCTTTGAGCTCTTGCTTTAGGCTTAGGAAATCCTTCCCCATGTGAAGATTGCAAAATCAGATTGGATGATTCTGGGCCTCTAGCCCAGCTGGGTTCCTGACTCCAGCTTCCTGCTGATGTGCACCCTGGGAGGCGGCTGGTGACGGCTCCGGTGGCTGCGTCCCTACTTGGGCCATCTTCTACTGCTTTCCCAGGCCACAGCAGAGAGCTGGATCAGAAAGAGGAGCAGCGGGTCTCGAACCGGTGCCCATATGGGATGCTTGTGCGGCAGGCAGAAGCGTAGCCCACTACACTATAGCGCTGGCCCTTATTTATTTATTTATTTAAATTCAGGAACATGGAACTGCTCTCCACTTATTTAAAAAGTCTGAAATGAGTAGTTCTTAGTATATTTATTTTTGTAAATCAAGTACGCTTTTTAAGTTTATTTGAGAATTGTAGGGGCCAGCGCTGTGGCGCAGCAGGTTAAAACACTGTCTGGAGTGCTGGAATCCCATATGGGTGCCAGGTGGAGATCTGACTGCTCCACTTCCCATCCAGCTCCCTGCTGATGACCTGGGAAAGCAGTGGAAGATGGCCCAAGTACTTGGTCTCCTGCACCCTCGTGGGAGACCCGGAAGAAGCTCCTGGCTGCTGGCTTCGCATGTGCCCAGCTCTGGCTATTGCGGTCAGTTAAGGGAGTGAACCAGCAGATGGAAGATTTCTCTCTCTCTCTCTCTCTCTGTGACTCTGTCTTTCAAAAAAATAAAAAGAAATCTTTAAAAAAAGAATTGTAAATTTCTTGTTGATTTTGTGAATGAAATTTTTACATCTTCAACTAGTTATCAGCAGAATATGGGAAATTTCTTGATTTTTATATTTTATAAAATATTGCTGTTCTTATTAGTTCCAAAAGTTTTTAAGTTTTATTATTTATTCTCACTTATTTGAAAGACAGAGAGAGAAAGAAAGGGATCCATCTTTCCATCCGCTGGTTCACTTCCCAAGTGCTTACTACAGCAGGGCTGGGCCAGGCCAAAGCCAGGAGCCAGGAGCTCCATCCGGGTCTCTAACATGCATAGCAGGGGCCCAGGCACGTGGGCCGTCCTCTGCTGCTTCCCCCAGTGCATTAGCAAGGAGCTGGATAGGACATGGAGTGAGGACTTTAACCTAGGAACTTTGATTTGGGGTGTCCTAGGTGGCATCTGCCACAATGCCTGCCCCCCAGAAATTGTTTTTAAAAGAATAATAAAATACTTTCACTTGCAATTGGTTTTCCCTTGCTCATTTCTTTTCCCTGCAGTGCTGCATCGGCTGAAACAGCAATTCTTAGGACTCCTTCATTCTCATAAAAATGACTGAGGATCCCAAAAAGTTTGGTGTCTGTGGATGGTGTCTATCTGTGTTTTCTATGTTAGAAGTTAAAGGTGAACGTTTTAAATGATATGATGTGATCGGGGGGTGTTGTGGCACTGCAGGTTAGACTGCTACTTGGGACACCTGCGTCCCAAAATCAGAGTGCCAGTCAGTCCCGGCTGCTCCGCTTCTGACCCAGCTCCCTGCTGATGCACCTGGGGAGCAGCACTTGCGCCCTCTTGTGGAGCTGTATGGGAGCAGTTTTTTAAAAGATTTATTTATTTACTTGAAGGGCAGATTCATAGAGAGAAAGGGGGCAAGACAGAGAGAGAGAGAGAGAGAGAGAGAGGGAGGGAGGGAGAATCTTCCATCTGTTGGTTCATTCCCCAAATGAGTCCAACAGCTGGGGTGGTGCCAAGCTGAAGCCAGGAGCTGAGCGCTTCATCTGAGTCTCCCACGTGGGTGCAGGGGCCCACGCACTTGGGCCATCTTCCGCTGCCTTCCCAGGTGTGTCTGCAGGGAGCAGCCAGGACCGGAATGGGTGCCCAGATGGGATGGCACCCACTCGTCCCTGCAGTGTCTGGGGGTGAAGGCCAGCATCTGGGGACATGATGAGCTACGGAGGGAACGTCTGTTTCACTGCATAAAGCAGAGAAGATATCAACAATTTTAAACCTACAGATACAATATTTACAAGAGGCCTATCCGATAAGAAATTGGTACCAGAATATACAAAGATCCCTTAAAACTTAACAATAAGAGAACAAAAGATCAGATTGAAAAATGAGCAAAAGATTTGAACAGGATACCTCACCAAAGAGGATGGCAAATAAAGCATTTTATTTTTAGGATTTATTTATTTATTTGAAAGGCAGAGTTACAGAGAGAGGAAGAGGGGGAGAGAGCACTTCCATCGACTGGTTCACTCGTCAAATGTCTGAAATGGCTGGGGGTGGGCCAGACTGATGACAGGAGCTTTTTCCGGGTCTCCCACATGGGTGCAGGGTCCCAAACACTTGGGTCATCTGCTGCTGCCTTCCCAGGCACACTAGCAGAGCTGGAGCAGAAGTGGAGCAGCCAGGAATTGAACCAGCATCCATATGTGATGACTTATCCACCACACAATGCCAGTCCCGAAAATAAAGCATATTATGAGATGTTTCAGCATCATATACCTTATTAGGGAATTGGAAATTAAAAGACAACAATGAGATCTCTCCATCCTTTAGTATGTCAGAAGTCAAAAAAAGTCAATATAACCAAATACTAGTGGAGTAACGGGAACACTCACTCATTGCTGGTATGAATACAAAATGGTGCAGTTTGGAAGAGTCTGCTGGTTTCTTACAAAACTAAACACACTCTTACTTTGTGGTCTAACACTGTGCTCCTTGGGAGTTACCCAAATGCACTTGAAGACTTGCGTCTACACATACAACAGCACACAGATGTCTCCAGCAGCGTACTCATCATCACCAAACTTGGAAGCAACCAAGAACGTTCTTCAGTAGATGAGCAGATAAGCTGTGGTTCATCCAAAGAATACCATTCAGTGCTAAAAAGAAACCAGCTATGGGCCGGTGCTGTGGCATAGCAGCCCACGTGGGCGAGTCCCATCCAGCTCCCTGCTAAGGCCCTTGGGAAGGCAGCAGAAGATGGCCCAAGTGCTTGGGCCCCTGCACCCATGGGGGAGACCCAGATGAAGCTCTCGGCTCCTGGCTTCAGCCTGGCATAGCCCCAGCTGTTGCAGTCATTTTGGGGAGTGAACCAGTGAATAGAAGACCTCTCTCTCTGTCTCTCCTCTCGCTGCAACTCTGCCTTTCAAATAAACAAACATATCTTTTTTAAAAATATTTATTTATGTATTTGAAAGTCAGAGGTACAGAGAGAGAGAGAGAGAGAGAGAGAGAGAGAGAGAGAGAGATGCAGGGGCCCAAGGACTTGGGCCATCTTCTACTGCTTTCCCAGGCCATGGCAGAGAGCTGGATTGGAAGTGGAGCAGCCAGGTCTCAAACCGGTGCCCATTAACCCACTGTGCCACAGCGCTGGCCCCAATAAACTCATCTTTAAAAGAAAGAAACGAACTATCAATTCCTGAAAAGATGCGGAGGAACTTACAGGCACATTACTAAGAGGATGAAGTCAGTCTGGAAAGGCCCCGAACTGTATGATCTCAACTCTATGACATTCTAGAAAAGACAAAACTCAAAAGACAGCAGAAAGACCAGTGGATGTCAGGGGTTGTGTGGGAGAGGAAGATATGAGGCATAGGTGGTTTTCAGGGCACTGAAACTTTTTTAGTGGTTGCCTACCCAAACCTACAGAAGGTCTAACACAGTGAGCCCTACCGTTAGGCTGTGAACCATGGGTGACAGCCGTGTGTCCACACAGCCTCACTGATGATCATCGATGCATTGAACTGGCGTGGGAAGCTGATGGTGAGGGGCCTGTGTGTACGCGGGGACCAGGCAGAGAGTACGTGGCCTCTCTCTGCTGCTCAGTTCTGATGTGAACCCCTTACAAATGAACAGCTGGTGTGCTACCACAGTGAAAATTAGAGCAAGGCACACGCAACAGCACAGTTGAAGTTAGCATTTTTATTAACAGGCAGAATATTCAATAAATATTCTCATACCTTGAACAGTGGGGGTTTCCCCCAAATTCCCTCTCCCACATCAGTGAAACTGCCCTGTGTGAATGGGATTCCAGGGAAGGAGAAGCAGGGCCCTTTGTCCCTCAAGGTCCTTCTGAGGGCAGAACTGCGAAGTGTTCACGGTAAAGGGATGGTCACTAACTGTCCACCTGAATCCACATTCCATTAGGAGAGAGGGCCTGCTAAGACGCTCAGAAGTCACAAGCACTGGGATGTCACTGGCACTGAACCACCGGACCACTCTGGAGCGGGGCAAGGCAGACAGGGCTGGCTCTGGGGAACACGTCCCCCCACGCCGGTGACATTTTGAGAGTGAAGCAACAGAGCTGCAGCTAGGAGCCCAGCAACATGGCCCGTTTGCAATGAGTCAGATGCCTTGTCGCATACCTGAGGCTGTGCACTGGACACACAAACATGGAGACTTGCTTTGGGACTTAAAGAAAAGAAAGTAGTATTTCAGGATGAGTCACGTGTACCTTTTGCAGGCCCACAGGAGTTGGTAGGAACTGGGTCAGTAAGAGGTGATTGCACACACACCGCCTTCAGCTTCCCAGCACGCGGCTGAGCTCCCAGTGCGTATGACGAAGTCGCAGCGCCCAGATGTGACTCCGCAGTGTCAGCTCCCTTTCAGCTCAGTGTGACCGCCCTGCCCTTCTGCACCATGGCAGCGCCCCGCTAGTCCACACCAGCTCGACTTCCTGGCTCCGCCTGGACTTCACCTTGCTGACAACCCTTTAAAAATGAGACGCCTGGTTGTCTGATTTTGCCCTAATGGCGAGCAGGTGCAGAGCTGGACTCCTCTGAGAAACTACCAAATAAAGGCAAGTGAGGTCAGTGCCAGCATCCCTGGGAGAGCAGACCCCAGTGGAGCTGCTGCCCAAAACGAAGCCAACGCCAACGAGGTGAACAGTAAGCCCACTGGGAGCCAACACGGCACTTGTGGCCTTCTCCGGTTGCTGGAGCGAAAGCACTCAGGCTACATCATCGCAGCACCGTGTCACCATCTCATCTGGTGCCACTGCCGACCCTGGCTCCCAGCTGCCTCTCCCCCGACTTGAACACGGCCAGCTACAAGGTTTCATAGTAGTGCGTGAGTGGCAAGAACGAGAACTTGTTCTCTAACCCAGCAGCTCTAACCTTAGCCCTGTGCCATGTGGGGCTTCCTTCCTCTGGGAGAAAGCCCTGGCCAACTGCCTGAGGAGCAGCAGGGGCTGACCGGGGGTGGCCTGTGGAGTTCCCACATGGCAGCAAGTGTGTGATGCCGGCTTTTGAGACCTCACTTTGTCTAGACTCTTCTACACCTGCTTCTTTATCTCACCCCCTAAGAGTGATGGAAGTGCTGGCCACAACTGGGCTGATCATCAGGAGTTTAACGGGGAAAACAGCTGGGAGCCGTGAGAGCTGGTGCAGACGGCGTTCTCTCCACCACTGCTTGATTTCTAACACTCAAGGGAAGAAACCTGCAGAACCTGTAATCCTCCTAAAATCTCCAGCCAAATTAAAAAAGCCCTGGCGTACTCAGCACAGCACTTCCGCTGCAACCTGGGATGCCCACACCCACAGCTCAGTCCCTAGGTTCAAGTCCCGGCTTCCTGTTAATGCCTATCCTGGGAGGCAGCAGTTGGTGGCCCAAGTACTTGGGTCCCTGCCAGCCCCATGAAGACCTGGAATGAGTTTGACCCCTGGCTTTGGGTTGGCCTGGCCCCTACTGTTGCAGACATTTGGGGAGTGAACTAGTGGGTAGATCTGTCTGATTTTTAAACAAAGGAAAACACCACCACAAACGGGCTTTGGTGATAACCCTGGCCTCACGTCTCAGAATTCTGAGTCTCTCACTGCCTTACAAAATGAACCAATTACTACAATACAGTACAGGCAGAATACTCTGATTACTGGCAAGAACTCCCTTAGGAGGTCCCGCCCTCTCCCTGTTCCTCCAAGCACGAAAAGGCAAACTGTGAGACCAGACTCGGTGACAAGTCAGACATCTAATGACAAGAGCCCGGGGCATCTAGAAGCACAGCAGGCCTGGCTTGAAAATGACTGAAGTGGTTTTCCCTGCCAGCAGGTCACTACCCGCGGCTGCACTCCCCAGGGGAGCAGGGCTCAGTTACCCACGCTTGCACTCCCCAGGAGAGTGGGGCTCAGTTACCCACACCTGCACTCCCCAGGGGAGCGGGGCTGTTACCTGTGGCTGCACTCCCCAGGAGAGCAGGGCTCAGTTACCCACGGCTGCACTCCCCAGGAGAGCAGGGCTCAGTTACCCACGGCTGCACTCCCCAGGAGAGTGGGGCTCAATTACCCACAGCTGCACTCCCCAGGAGAGCGGGGCTCAATTACCCACGCCTTCACTCCCCAGGGGAGCGGGGCTCAGTCACCCACACCTGCACTCCCCAGGGGAGCGGGGCTCAGTCACCCACACCTGCACTCCCCAGGAGAGCGGGGCTCAGTTACCCACACCTGCACTCCCCAGGAGAGCGGGGCTCAGTCACCCACGGCTGCACTCCCCAGGAGAGTGGGGCTCAGTCACCCACACCTGCACTCCCCAGGAGAGTGGGGCTCAGTCACCCACACCTGCACTCCCCAGGAGAGTGGGGCTCAGTCACCCACGGCTGCACTCCCCAGGAGAGTGGGGCTCAGTCACCCACACCTGCACTCCCCAGGAGAGTGGGGCTCAGTTACCCACGCTTGCACTCCCCAGGAGAGCGGGGCTCAGTTACCCACGCCTGCACTCCCCAGGAGAGCAGGGCTCAGTTACCCACGCTTGCACTCCCCAGGAGAGTGGGGCTCAGTTACCCACACCTGCACTCCCCAGGGGAGCGGGGCTCAGTTACCCACGCCTGCACTCGCCAGGAGAGCAGGGCTCAGTCACCCACGCCTGCACTCCCCAGGAGAGCGGGGCTCAGTTACCCACACCTGCACTCCCCAGGAGAGCAGGGCTCAGTCACCCACGCCTGCACTCCCCAGGAGAGCGGGGCTCAATTACCCACGCCTGCACTCCCCAGGAGAGCGGGGCTCAGTCACCCACATCTGCACTCCCCAGGAGAGCGGGGCTCAGTCACCCACGGCTGCACTCGCCAGGAGAGCGGGGCTCAGTTACCCACGCCTGCACTCCCCAGGAGAGCGGGGCTCAGTTACCCACGCCTGCACTCGCCAGGAGAGCAGGGCTCAGTCACCCACACCTGCACTCCCCAGGAGAGCGGGGCTCAGTCACCCACACCTGCACTCCCCAGGGGAGCGGGGCTCAGTCACCCACACCTGCACTCCCCAGGAGAGCAGGGTCCATTACATTCCTGTTCCAGGATGGAGACAGGAAAGCTGAGAATCAAGTCAGTCTCCTTTATTCCATCTGCAGGCACACCCAGCGGCCACTGCTGAACCCTGTATCACGGCTCAGGCTGACTGAGGCACACAGCGCCTGCATTCTGCTCTCCAGAGACAGTGGGGTGGGCGGTGGAGAAGCCCAGCGAAGCAGAGCCCTCGCCCTGAAGGGGAATGGAGAGGGGAGGAAGTAGGGATGTGTAGAACGGGAGCAGCGAGGGGCCTTGAAGGGCCTGCACTGGGCACGCGGAGGTGAGAGGTGACTTCCACCCAGCCCCGTGTCCACTGATGCCCACCACCAAGCTGTAGGGAGAGGCTCGAGCTGCTTTCTCCCTCTGCGATGCTGTGTTCTGGATTCTTCTGGAGGTCCCCTTCTTTTGCTTCTGTGGCTAAAGATGTGCTCCAGAACGGGAACAGGAGGCTGCTGAGGTCTGGGCAGGCCTCATTTGTCAGAAACGCAGAAGCCGCTCCTCGCTGGAGGTGAGCCGTATGGGGCTTTAGGAGTATCTCAAGATGGAGGGAAGCGGAAAGAGGCGGCAAGAGAGGAACTGAGGGAGGCTGCCAGCCCAAGGAGGGGGCTGTGAGCTGTGCAACAGGCCCAAGAAGTGTTCAGTGGAACTGTGGGCAGGGGGCTGACACACTGCTGGGGCCAGTCCCTACGGAAGACAGAACTGGGGCAGAGGCGACTGGTCCCTTGCCTGGGAGATGGCCCTCAGGCACCACGTACAGGAGACCCCCATGCAGAACCACCCCTGTGCGGCCCCCAGCAGTTTCAGACAGCCTGTCTGCGGCAGAAACTGGTGGCTACTGCTGGGATATCATGGCAAGCGCCCAGTCCAAGAAAGCCACTGTGATGTCCTGCAGGCAGAGCCAGGTCCAGCGGGCAGCCTCACCGAGCTGTGTCTTCACGCAGTCCCAGGTCACCTCGCCTCTGGGAGGAGAGCAGGACATTGTCGGGGTCAGGACATGTGTGCAGCCCGGCCTACAGCCCTCCCCCCGCAGTGGCCAGGGACAAGCAAGGGGTAGGGCGGCACAAGAACCTCCATGGGGAAGCCTTGTCCCGGGGCCCTGGGTGGGGGTCTCACCTGCACGCCTCGTGGCAGTGCTCCTGGGCCCGGGCCAGGGCCTCAAGCAGCAGTTGCCACAAGGGCAGCAGCACGTTCTGGCAGAGCAGGAAGAGCAGTTCCCTCAGGAGACGGAGCAGCCAGTGCAGGGCAGCAGCGAGCTGGAGCTGCGGCCAGAGCACAGAGGGTGGATGGCACCCGGCGCACAGCACCCAGCGCAGGCCTCCTGCCCTAAGGACCCAGTCCACACGGAGCTGCTGCCCCTTCCCGAGACCGCCGGCCCTTCTCTGCCTCCCTGTTTCCAGCTTACCCTCTCAGAGAGACTGGTGAGGCCGTCACTGAGCCAGGCGAGGTGGGAGGCACAGTGGGCAGAGAGGAAGCTGACGGTGGCATTGGTGTGCGCCCAGGCCAGCTGCAAGCTGGGCCGCAGCACAGTAAGCAGGTGGGAGCCGCAGGCCGGCAGCGTCTCCTCCAGCCAGCTGTCAGAGAGGGTGGAGGGGACGGGGGCGGGGGGCTGAGTCTCCTCAGGCCAGCTCGCTTCCAAAGAGCTGGGAAAGGCAAGCCACGAGCACTGACCGCCATCAAGGGCTGCCCCGCCCACCCTCACCACCCGACTTCCCTCCACCCCCGTGCCGACCCCTCCCTGGGAGGAGCTCACCTGTAGCCTTGCAGGCTGTAGGAGTAGAGTTTGGCACAGGCTTGGCGGCCAGCAGGCAAGAAACCAGACGACTGAAGCAACCGGCCAGCGAGGGAGGCTGAGGACAGGGGGCTTGGTGAGCAGGGAGGCGCCACAGGTCTCCGGGCAGGCAAGTGAGGCTCACAGCGCACTGAGCCGACTCAATGGGAGGCAGGCAGGCCCCAGGGCCGAGCTCTCCTGCCGGCCCAGGCGAGCAGGAATAGGGGGCCAGATGGAGCCCTGGAATTGGGTGTCAGCAAGTCTCCCTTATCCTCAGCAGTGAAAAGGAGATGACACCTACTGCAATGGCGTCATGCATATGCAAGCCCGTCCACATTGCAAAGTACCAGCTCAACCTGCAGTGGTATCGAGCCAGCTGTGGACAGGAAAATCTGGATGCAAGTGTTCATCTGCAGTACTGAGAACTCATCAGGACCAGGGTGTGTGTTGGGGTGCCCCCCAGCTCTATGCCCCCACCACGCTACCTTCCTTGTGTGCCAGTTGATGCTTACCCTGGAAAGAGCTGTGTGACCGGAAGTCATGGCAGAGGAAACCTACGGCAAAGACCAGCAGCAGCAGCAGCAGCCGTGTCCATGGCAGCCCAGGGCCCCGTGCCTGCTGCAACAGGCCCTGGGGGCGGCAGGAGGAACAGTGGTCAGGAGGGAGAGGACCTGGTCCCTGCCCCCCCAGCAGGTCTCAAGCCAGGCCTTCCAGGAAGAGGGTCAAGCCCTCTCACTGGCCCCGAGGGAGCAGGGGGCTCCACAGGCAGTGGGCAGGAACGTGCTGCAGGCCCAACGCTGGGTGCGCCGAGACAGACAGGCAGGACAGTGTGGGAGGCGCTGGCACCTTGCAGGCTCTGTCACACAGGACGACATCCTGGTTGTCACAGCTGCCTTTCCCTAGCAGCTCCTGGTTAGTCAGCCTGAAGGACTGAATGGTTTCTTGCAAAGACTTCTGCACCTACAGGGTCACAAGAGGCTGCGTTGGGAATGCAACCTCCGGCCCTGGAGCCCTTGCCTCCCCCCGCCCACCCCGCTTCTCTCCCTGCCAAGGGCACCGGCAGAGTAGCTTTCCCGGGCGGGGAGGACAGCGGCGCAGGGGCGATCAGATCAGCCTGTCACGTCACCCCAGCTCCTCACCGTCTTGGGAATCCGCTCCCAGGACCTGAGCAAGTGCTCCAGCAGCAGGCTGTGGAGAAAGCACGACCCCCCCAATCAGGTGGCCCGCTCGGCCCTTCCTGGCTGTGAGACCGTCCCCTCCCCCAGCCCCGCAGGAGCAGCAATGTTCCCACAGAGCAGTGACCCATGAGCCCCTTCTGCTTTGAGGACAGGGACGGGCCAGGGATGGGCCAGCCCCGGGCTGGGACGCTTCTACATGGGGGACAGAGGCAGGCAACCCCCACCCCCACCTGCCTGGACTGGGACAGGTGCTTGGGGTACAGCTGCCTCCAGACGCTGGCGCTGAGGGGGTCCACGGTCAGACACTCGGCCAAGCTGCTCAGGAGCTGACAGGAAACACAGGAACGACTGTGGGGGCCGTGGGGCAGCGGGGCAGCCCACCCGCGCCGAGGTGGAGAAGCACCGGCCTAGAGCTCAGGCCCGCGGGTCACGGTCTGCCAGTGGCACAGGAACCATGCGGGCCTGTGCGCGCCACCCTTCTGAGGCTGCGCCTAAGTGGGCAGTGCAGGGGCTGCCGGGAGTGAGCTGAGGAAGGCCTGGGGAAAGGGCTCCGTGAAGGCAGGGCCTGTCAGCGGGCGGAGGCCGCTGCGTGCACCCCTGGCAAAGGGGAAGGAAAGCAGCTCCCACCGGGTCCTCACCTCTTTCTTCATCTCGGGCGGGCAGCTCGGGGTGGCTCTGGACAGGAAGGAGGGGAAGTAGGTATGCAGGGCGGATTCCGGCTTCGCCCCGAACGCCAGCACCTTCAGTCGGGGGTAGAGCTGACACAGCTGCTCCTGCAGGCTGGGGTGGGGTGAGGAGAGCCATGCGCAGGCGAACAACAGAACTGGGCCACACACACTTCCTGCTGCCTGGAACCCCTGCCCCACCCTGCCCAAGGGGAGCGTCACTAGGGGCCTTGGAGGGGGCTGGTTGTGTGGTGTAGGGGGTTAGGCTGCTGCTCAGGTTCAAGTCCTGGCTACCGTGCTTCCAATCCGGCTTCCTGCTCATGTGCCTGGGAAAGCTGCGGAAGAGGGTCTGAGCACTTGGGCTTCTGCCACCACGTGGGGGACCTGACGGAGCTCCTGGCTCCTGCCTTCGGATGGCCCAGCCCCAGCCACGAAGGCCATTTCTGGAGGAAACCAGAAGACGGAAGATCTCTCTTTGTCTCTCCCTTTCTGCCTTTCAAATAAATAAATAAATAAATCTTAAGGAAAAAAAAATAATGACTCCTTGGGACATCTGTTGTAAGCCACAGAAACCCTGCACCCCTCAAGAAAGCATCTACATGTCAATTACACTGTAGGGTCTGCACAATTTTAGCGGCTCACCGATCCCTTGAAACCTACCCTTGAGCTTCCAGGTTGGGGTGGGAATATAAGGGGACTTCATAAAGTTTATACAAAATGAAATAAAAAAATAAGTTTATTTTGGACCAAAAAATTTTCAAAATCCATGCAGTTTTTTTTGTAATATGTATTTTCCATAAACATTTTGAAGACCCATTGTACACATGGATCTCCAAACTTTTTTTTTTTGCACCAAAAAAACCATTCTTTTAGTTCCACTTTCCGTGAGC